CCACTCTGACTGCAGCCCCTCCAGGAAGCCCCACACCTTCGACAGCGGCCCGACCCCGCCCGTCAGGACGCCGTGCTGCGTGATCGGATGCACCTGCACGTGCGCTGCCGAGATTGTGGTCAGGTTGGGCATGTGCGAGGCCACCTCGATCGCCCGCCTCTTCTTGTCTTCGGTCGCGAGAGCATCGTCTCTGAGACGAAACTCGTGGGCGGCGGGGAATGTGTCGTCACTGATGGGTGCGGGGTGGGGCTCGTCGTGCCCGTCGTAGGTGAGGGTGGCGGCCGTCTTGGCGAGATGGGCCAGCACCTTCTGGACGGCGGGTTCTGTGGTACCGGACAGGAGCTTCACCTTGGTTTGTCCGTGTCCGCCACCCCAGTCGATGGTGGGCTCGGACAGGGCCGCTGGCTGCGCTATTGCATCCCTAAGTGACCACAGAAACACACACCACAGCACCGCTTTACTGTTGCTCTCTGTTTTTGTCGCATCTCGTACTTCTCACCTCAGCTGGACGGCGCTCCTCAGCTTCTCCACTTGACCAGCATCGTCACGAACCGACAAGATGTTCAAGTCGGAGGCTGCGAAGCTGTCGACGAACGCCCTTGGCCACCAGCGCCTCACGGAGCATGTCGGTGTCCTCGGCCTCATCCAAGTCGAGCTGGAGGGTGTGGAGGGCACTGAGCGACCTCCCGGCGGGCAGCTCACTCACCGCACTGGCGACCATCGCAGTGCCACGATAACCACTGGTCAGCACCTCGATCGTCTCGCAGCAGTCGGCCAGCCATGCCTTGAAACCATTGCGGCCACTGGACAAGCCACAGCTGTGGCTGAATGTCTTCACATTAGGTGTCTGCCAGCTGCGGCCCACGCGAGCGGCCGCACACTCGTTGGGGATGTCCTTGACGGTCGTGAGTGCGGGGAGGCGGACGGGGGCGGAGGGGACGGGCGGCAAATCAGATGAGGGCGGAGGGTTGGGGATGTAACTGCTGTGGTGCAGCCCGACGTCCTCGAAGGTCAGCACCTCCAGTGTGCCCTCATCGTCCGACGGCTTGTCACCGCCGTCCACTGCTGCAGCAGCAGCAGCCGCACCATCGCCTCCCTGCTGCCGACTCTTCTCCTTGGCGGCCGCCAGTGCCGCTCGACCGCCCGCATGACCCTCTACGAGACTCACCCAAGTGCCCCGGCACCACTTCCGCGCGTAGTCGAGGCCGCGGGGATAGCGGTGCTTGAGCTGGCGAATGCTTGTGGCCCTCTCGCCCCACTTGTGTGCCACAGGGATGGGCATGGCCTCCCACATGCGCCTCGAGTGGCCGTCCTCGTAGTCGATGCTGATGTGGCTGTAGTTGGCGGCCGACTGGGTGAATAGGGACGTGCCGAGTGCGGGGCGGATCGGGGTCAGCTCCCAGGGCTGCAGGTGGCCGAAGACGTTGGAGAGTGCGTCACGGGAGAGGCAACGACGAGCCTGAAATGGCACAGGCAGGCAGACACACAGACAGGCAGAGAGGATGGCTGAGAGTGCTACGGCTGAGAGATGGTCTTGGCCATACCGGTCCTTCTAGGGGGGCAGGTTGCCCGTCTTCTTGATGAGGCGATACGACGTGCGACGGGGCGGCACCTGCAACCAACACACAACAGGGAGGACGTGGATGAGGCTGTTTCTCTGCTTGTGTGGTCGTCTGTACCTCTGGCTCGTGGTTGGTTTCTTCTGCTACTGCTGGTGCTGCTGCTGCTGCTGCTGCTGCTGCTGGGGAGGAGGTGGTGGTAGTGGTGGCCGTGAGTGCACCCACTGCCGTCGACAGTACCGGGGCAGCGGTCGACAGCTGTGCTATGGAGGCGTCGAAATGGCTTCCCAGGAGGGACAATTGAAGCTGCAGCGACGCACCAGATGACGCCTGTGAAGGGTGGGCAGCAGATAACACACAGAGAGAAATGACCGGTGGGTCTGTTTGCTGTGGATACTGACAGGTGTGAGTTTGATGTGCGTCACCTCTGCCGCCGTGAGATTAGACTGGTCGAGTTGGCCGATTTGCGATAGACAAGAACCCACCTGAACCACACCAGCCACATGCTCGCGATGCTCTGCACTGGCGAGCCAATATCAGTGGTGCCTTTCGTCACCTGAGAGCAAAGTTGCTGCAGCCGCGCCAGGCTTTGTCCAACAGCCGCCGCCTGATCCTTCAACTGCACGACAGACAAGACACACAACACGGCACAGGCCTCTGTGTCCCCCACGTCCGTTTTGACATGTGCTGCTCGTCATTCACCGACCCCCTGCGTCGAATCCATGACGATGTGCTAAACCGACTCGTCCGCTGCCTCGAGCCACTCACACACCAACAGCCGTGCACCACTTCTCAACGCTCCGTCAGGTGAAGGCTCAGATCTGCAACACACACCATCCACAGCAGCCACAAACAGACACCATCAACGAACAGACAGACACCAGCCAGCCATCCATTCCATCCATCCCTCCCGCCCCTCGTGCACTCAGTAATCATCTCACCCGAACTGAGCCGAACACGGTCGTGAAAAGCTTCAACGTCTGTGCAGTGGTGCAATATCGACGGTCGCCAGCTGTGGCCTCCCTCACAGTGGCCGAGGCGCCGGGAGCGGAGCGATGAGAATGTTGAAACGTCGTCAAAACAGAGGTCGGCCGCTGGTGGACTCATCCATTCTGTCAGACCAGCCGCTACATGGCCTGACACGCCCCAAAGAGTTCATTCCCTATTTCAGCGATCGCGAGCTCTTTCAGCGATCGCGAGCTCAGGGGCGAGCTCGAAAATCCGCTCGCCTTCGTTGAAGAGCGCAACAGGGAGCATCATCACTCACCATGGAGAAGGCGACCCACCGCTTGGCTCCCTCGGGCCATCAGAGCCTCACGAATCCATCGTCGGCCGACGCATCCCTGAGTACCAATGAGTCGAGCTTGAAGCCGCCGACGTTCTTCTCCAGTGCAGTGGCGTCGATGGCCCACTGCCCGCGTGAGCTGTGGCTGATTTTCCTCCTCAAGTACCTCGAGTCGTACGCCTACTTCGTCTTCTCCTACACGCTCATTCTCTTCCTCTCGGACGAGTTCGGCTTCACCGACGAGGAGGCCGGCCTGGCGTACGGCATCTTCGGCATGCTCGTGTCCGTCTACGGCTTTGTCATCGGCATCATCATCGATATCCTGGGGGTCAAGTGGAGCCTCGTGGGCGGCACAGCCATACTCTTCTGCTCCCGACTGATGCTCACCTTCACCACCGACGTCCACGTCCTGACGCTCATTCTCTTCACGGCACTGCCTGTGGGCTCGGCCATGGGCATCCCCGTCATGCAGGTCAGCTGGGGTGGGGGAGGGAAAGAACCGAATCGATGCAGGCCCGACAGTGATGCTGACGATGCGATACGATGTGTGTGTGTTGTGTGTGTTGTTGTGCGGTGTGTTCAGATTGGCATTCGGCGGTACACTGACGAGGGCAACAGGAGCCTGGGCTACTCCATCTTCTACGTTATGATGAACCTCGCAGCCATATGCGCTGCACCGGCAATTGGTAACACCCCTCCCCACACACACAGCCATGGACACAGACATTCACACACACGAAGCACATCTATATGTGTCGGTGTGTGCAGATGCCTTCCACGAGGCCTTTCCGACGGGCGTGGCCATCGCGTTCGGCGCCCGCACTTACAGGATATCCTCATTCAGGCTGCTCATATTCACCGGGGCCGTCATGACCCTCGTCAGGTCAGCCAGGCACACACAGGGCACGAACACACACCAGACTGCAGAGAGAGGCCATTGTGTGCTATGTGTGTGTGTGTGTGTGTGTGTGTGTGTGCTATGTGTGTGTGTTCCATGCAGTTTCGGCATATCGCTGACGTGCATGCGGGAGGTGTCGATGTCGCCACAGGGGCTGGTCTACAGAGATACGGGCCGGGAGAAGGCCACACGCGACACAAACACCCAGCAGAAGGGGCCCTTCGGCGCATTCAAGTGAGCCATCTAGAGGGGAGGATGTTTGCTGGGCCATGTGTCTGTGTCCATGTATGTGTGTGTGCATCAGGGATGTGTTGAACCACCCCAGCTTCTGGCGGTTCTTTTTGCTGGTGGTGTTGCTGTTGGGCGTGCGCATCATATACCGACACCTCGACGCAACCTTCCCAAAATACATGGTGGGAAGGGCACCTCACACACACAGAGAGAGGAGCATACGCACCCCGATGGGTGCTCATATGTGTGTGTATGTGTGTATGTGTGTGTTTAGGTGCGTGAGTTCGGCAAGGATGTCATGTTCGGGTCGATCATCGCCATCAACCCCCTGTGCGTGGCCATAGTGGTGCCCCTCCTCGCACCGCTCAACATGCGCCTCCACCCACTACAGATGATAATCGTCGGCGCGTCGCTCTCCGCGCTCTCGCCCTTCCTCCTCGCCATGGGACACACCTACACCACTGCCATTGGGTCAGCCAGGGAGGGAGGGAGGGGCCGCTGTTGTCAATCTCTCTCTCTCTCTCTCTCTGTGTGTGTAGGTTTGTGACCCTCCTGTCGTTGGGCGAGGCGATTTGGTCTCCGCGATTCTACGAGTACACCGTCACCATTGCCGAAAAGGTTAGTAGACGAGGAGGTGGCGGTGGCGGGGAGGCAACGCAGCACAGACATATCACATGAGTGTCCCCCTCTGTCTGTCTGTGTGTGGTTTGTGGTGTGTGATTGATTGATCAGGGTCGTGAGGGCACTTACATGGCGCTGGCGTCGACGCCCATGTTCATGGCCACACTAGTGACGGGCGCCATGTCGGGCTGGCTGCTCGACACGTTCTGCCCAGAGACCGGTGCGCACAGACACAGGCAACCAACCCTTTACTGTACTTGGTCACTCGACACGTGTGCGTGGTGCAGGCTCGCGTCACTCCGAGATGATGTGGTTCATCGTGGGCTGCGTGAGCATCACATCGCCGCTCGGCATGGTGCTCCTCTACGAGATTATCGAAGAAAAGGTCACACTCGCGCACACACACTCGCCCTCTCACACACCTTGTCGCACGCCCAAGGCGCCGTGTGTGTGTGTGTGTGTGTGCAGGCTCACCGTGTGCACTCTGCCTCGTCAGTGCAACTAAAGCTGACGGCCGACGAGCGTGAGCAGGAGAGCCTTCCCAGCGACAGCCGCCATGTGGATGGGCTGCTTAAGAGCTCCAACTCGGTCCCTCGCCTGTCTGCCTACGCCACTCTGCCGTCGACCGTCACGGCCACTGACCTGAGCACCAGCATCACGACGGAAGAGGTCAAACCACACACACACACAGAGAGACAGCACTCTCCAACCACAGAGCGCATGATATCTGCCTGCCTGCCTGCCTGTGTGTTGGTCCTCAGCCTGTCGCCGTCGTCACCACCGCCACCACCGAGAAGACCGGCCTGTTGGCCTTTCCACCCACCAGCAATAAGAGGAGGGACAACCACAGTGCGAACGACCACCACCACCTCATTCACCGCCGCAGAGCCGACGACACACAGACGGCGGCCGCGCCCATCGAGGCCATCATCCCCGACCCGCTGTACAGCAAATATGACAAGGGGCCGGCTGACACCGTCAAGGCGGTGGCGGGAAGGCCGCCCTGCCCACACGGGGTCAGTTTCAACAGCACGGCTCCGGCCACCGATGAGAGTGAGATGCTGGAGTCGGGCACTGGGGGGAGCGGGGAAAGCTTCGGGTACCCACTCGCTGCCCACAAACTAGGTACGTGGAGTGCCGCCCACACACACGCAAATTCTTGCGCGCCCGCCGGATGCATGCCTGCTGTGTGTTGTGTTGTGTGTTGTCTTTTGCTGGGTGCAGTTGATCGCTGTGCATAGGTAGGTAGGGAGATAGCTGGGGCGGCGGCGGTGTTGCTGCTGCTGTTTTGTGTGCATCGAATGAACGGTCCATCGATCGCACCAACGGTCGGCAGCGCAGTGGAGTCACAACATGCTCGGGCCAGCTCGGCTCCACACCGATGCGATCGATCACGGCAGACCTTGCTCAACAGACAGAGAGAAGGGAGGGTGTGTGAGGGGTGTCGTGTCGACGATTGCTTAGCAGCATCAGCCGTGCTGGCGTCGTGGTGTCTTTCTTATTCCCTGTGCGAGTGTGCATGTCTGTCTGTGGGGCATTCATTCACTCACTCATTTCTTTCTTTCATTCTGTGTACATACATACATCATACATACATGCAGACGTTTGGGTGTCTATAAATAGTCAGTCAGTACGGGAGAGGCATTAACGACGTGTTGGTTGCTCTCTCTGCGGGGGGTGGTCCATCCATCCCATTCATGTATAGGGGGGAGGGGCTGCTGCCTGCATGGCATGGCATGGCATGGCACACTGGAGTGCTCTGCGTGTGTCATGTATCGGTCCATTGGATGAACATTATCCATGCGTGTGCGTGTTTGCGTAGGGGGAGGGAGGGAACTGATCATGACAATGGCTTTCTCAGAGGCCAGGGTCAAGGGTTCCTCAGTCTACGGGTTTGGGTAAGGCATCGTGAAAGCGAATAGAATCCTGCCTTTTTCCCTTCGGTTCGGTCCTTTTCGCGCTTTCCGAGATCTCTGCCACCTCTTTCGGCACGTCAGCTCTCGGTTGCGTGCCTTTCGCCCCAGCGCCCACCCCACCGTGCTCACCTCTCAGCCCCTCCAAGTCACCCGCCAGTCGAGGAGGCCGCGTAGGACGCCACTCAGGGCTCCGCTGACCGCCGGATCTGCGCTCCCCTCCCGCATCGCACGCCGTCCTCAACTCTCGCCAAGATGTCTGTCAGAGAGCTGCTCGACAGCAACGTCGTGCGGCGTGACCGGTTCGGAGGAGATGGAGGGCACTACGACGGGCAGAACCGGAACGCCAAGGCCATCAGGGCGCTGACCAACCTCGTTAAAGGTACGTGGGGATGCATGCGACACAACATGCACTGTGTTTGGGTGTGGGTGGTGGTGCGGGCGTGTGGCGGTGGGACAAGTCGTGAGACGGGCTGAGACAGATGTGGGTGTGACGGGCGGGAGGGTGGGGGTGTGTGGTGTGGCGGTTTGGACGCGTGGTGTGTGACCCTTGTGTGTCTGTGTGTGCATGTGTGTGGGTGTCGGTTTCAGTCACCGTTGGCGCCAAGGAGAAGGGCCAGGAACCCCAACTGCACATCTACTCAATCAAGTGAGAGCACTGGACATGCACTGACCGACCGACTGAGTGGTTGAATGGCCTCCTTCTCTCTCTGTGTGGGTGCAGGTTCCACCCACCTCTGCCAGGTAGGTGTGGGTGTGGCGGCGGTGTGGGGAGGTGTGTATCGGCTGTGTGGCGTGTCCATCTGTGTGGGGCGGTCGTGCAGGTGACTTCCGCGTCCAGTCGAAGATCATCAACACGGCCGGAGCTGACGGCATCAAGACCGAACTCCGACAACTCAACCTCAACGGACCCCTCTTCACCGTACGCACACACCGCCCCGCCCCCAACACGCCCACACACACACACCCCTGCACAGCTGCCTGTTTCTCTCTCTCTCTCTCTCTCTCTCTGTGGTGTGTGTGGATGCGTGTACACACCTGCCTGCAGGGGACGGCGTTGCTGACGATCAACCCGACGGGCTGGGAGGGCCAGCGCGAGGCAAAGACCTTCGACAAGGTCCTGGGCGGCACCAACACGACGGTGGAGGTTGCGTGGAGGGTGGCCGTGTCCCTCTCGCCCATGGCCATCACCCCGCAGACCCACTCTGACGAACGAATCCGCGCTAAGATGATCAACGCACAGGTGGGTGCCG